TCTGGGCTGCGGCCCCGCGCTGGGGGCCCCGGGGCGCAGCCGCTTCGGCCCGGGCTCGGGACCCATCCTACTGGACAACGTGCGCTGCGCGGGCACCGAGGATGCGCTGGAGCGCTGCGCCCACTCGGGCTGGGCTCAACACAACTGCCAGCACCGGGAGGACGCGGGCGTGGTCTGTGCAGGTACCGAGCCCCCCGCCCCGCCTCGCCCGGCCCTGCGGTCTGCCCCAGGCTCCGCCGCGTCTTTCCTCTCCACGCATTCCTAAGGTCAAAATTCACCACCCCAGGGAATATCAGGTTGGTGAGGCGCCAGATTCAGGGATAACGAGAGAGCATATTTGTTACACAAGTGTTGTGGTAAATGCTTTAATCATACAGGCTTGGGATTTTAATAATCAGTTTTGATTAATTGCAAGGCAATGCAATATTTGTTCCAAAGGATAGCTACAAGATTATGAGGCCAAAGGAAGAAACAATGGTGTAATGAAATGATTAAGGACATAGCACTGGCTGCTATTAGTCAGATCACAATTTGTCCGGGTCCCTTTTTCAATCTCTGACAAGGTCATCAAGGGCACAGACTTCCCCTAGCCCTCGGAAGTCAGAACCCTGCAATGTCCTGAGTTCCCCCTTCTGTCCCCTTCATCCAAGATTTGGCCTACGCCTTTCCTGGACTACTTTTGTTATCATCCAAGATCTGTCTTGTCGTTCTGACCTCCACAGGCTGACCCCTTCCGTGTGGAGTGGGGCTTCCTTATTTTGGTCCTAAATTCAACCATATAAAGCTCAAAAAGTCGTGGAATTCTAAGCTTTGGTGAACAAATCTGAGCTCACCTCATCCATTCCGTTCTCAGTTTTGTATAGGTAAACGAGGTAAAGAAGTCATTGCCGTTGCTTTTACCTTGATGTAGGAGTTTCGTTTGTTTTGCACAGAAATGGGGCCCCAATAGAAAAGGGATCAGAAACACGTTAGAGAAAAACTTTGATTGTGTTGAGAAAAACATTAATCCTGCGGGAGCCGCGTGGAGTCAGTCTGCCTGGGGCGATGGGTCCTCCTCCTCCAGGGCCTCGCTGTTACCGTCTGTTCACAGGTCCAGCCGTTCCTCCCGCTGTCCGGGCGCCCACCGTAAATGGTAATTCACTTTTCATTCTTGGGTTATGCACCAAGCAGGTTCCTCTTCATCAGGCACAGCAGCCAAAGGACGCAGGATGTGGGGCCAAGCGTGTCTGAAGGGGCTGAGTGAGTCTGGTCACTGTGCTTCCTGGCCTGGGCATTGGCCATAGGTTACTGCCCTGTCTTGCTTCTGTGCTGGGGTCACATGCTTCGTATTTCCCAGCCTGAGTTTCCGAGTGTGCCGTGAGCATGGGAAGGGACACCAACCAGAGTTCATGCGTGAGACGGTGTTTACCACCTGCAAAGCCCTTTACTTACTATTCTCTTGCTCCAGCAAATCTTTGTGGTGGTGACACTCACATTGTCAACATTGCTTCGCACATGCCAGAATCCCTCCCTCCGGCTCACCAGGAGGCCCTGGGTTCTCCTTCCTCTGGCATCGCCCTGGGGTATTTTCATGCCATTGTATTCCAACTTCAATAGCTACATCAAATCAGCCCATTTCCCTACGTTGCGTGTCTACCGCTGGCTCCATCACCCTCTTCCAGTGTTTCTGCACAGTTGACATTTGCTTTTCATCATTCTTCCCTCTCCATGGAGAGCTGACTCTGTTGTACCCGAGGACAATGGCAAAATCTCCTTCTTTCCTAGAGTCTGAGGCTGCAGAACAGGGGAGCTAGGAGAGCAGTGGTCTGAGGGAGAAAGAACAGGCCGTGAGGGGGACCAGCTTCTGTGTCTCTACTGAAATTTCTCTGTCTCTGTCCACTCACTGGGCTTTGGGAGGTTGGGGAAGAAGCCCCTTTGCACCCATCCTGCCTCCCCCTTTGCTTCCACTCTTTTTCCAACCTACCTCTCCTACAGAGGCCCAGATAGACACACGTTCAGGCTCAGGTGTTCTCAACATGTGAAATGAGTGGTCCTTGAGATCCTTAGAAGAGGCTCTGACTCACGTCCCATGGGATGCATGCTGTGGGTGGGATCCCCAAGGATATGGTGGGACTTTTGGAAAAAGGAGATATAAATAAAGTCAATGAAAGTCACGTCTAAGGTGGGGGTGGTGGTGAGAACTCAGCCAACCCGGGGTACTGTCCATGGTACTTAATAAACATGCGGCCACACCCGGCACTGCAGCCCTACAGACCAGTGTACCAGGTTCTCTGTGTGAGCTTCTCCCCACCCCCTCCTCCTGCAGCCCAGCTCTCCTGCTTGACTCACCTGTTCCAAGTCGTCATTGACCGAGGATACCTCCGGAGACTGGGCTACTCCTCCTGGGATGTCCACCTGAACGATGAGCTCTGTCGCCCCCAGGTCACGGGGCGCTACCTGATCTTCAGCATTCCCTATGGCCGCTGTGGCACTGTCCAGCAGGTAAGAAGTTGACAAGGTGGTGGCACCCTTCTGTGGATAGAGGCCAAGGAGAAAGGTTTCAAAATTCAACCACCGGCTAAAAACCTGGGTGGGAAGAGAGGAAAGCCACAAGCCGTGACTTGGTTGGAAATCGAATTCATTCAAATAGTCTTCACGATGCCAATAATCACTTTCATTCCATACGTGACATTTTGTCTATTGGGTATGTGCAGACCACAGTCATTTTTTTGCTCTGGAAATTCTAGTTTTCACCTCAGAAGTTTCTGCCCTAGGAGCCATGCTGGAAGCCCCCAGTGTCTGGGAGGAGGACAGGCCCCAGAAGCTTCTGGGCCATAAGGGAGGATGCTCAGCTGTCCTCTCTGGCCCTGGCTAGCCTGGCTTCCTCAGCAAGCCTTGTATGCTGAGCATTGTGCCAGGGCCAGAGGACACAGCAGGTCAGGACCACCTGGGGTGACGGTTGGTCCCAGGGCATCCACTGGGAGAACACCACAGAAAGCTTCTGTGTCTGATTTCAGAGCCAATGAATGAGCAACCTTTTAGGTACTGAGGACTCTGCAGCCAACAAGACGGACAGGGCCTGTCCACGGCTCTTACAGTCCAGAAAAGGGAGACAGGCATGGAACCAACACACCAATGAGAGTCCTTCCTAGAAAACAGGGTTAAGAAGAAATAAAGCAAGGAAGGGAACAGAAGGCCACTTCGAACAGGTGGCCAAGGCCCAAGGCCCAAGGCCTGAATGAGGAGGTGGAGCCAGGTCAGGATGGACAGGAGGAACGCCCCGGGCAGGCGGTGGGCAGGCGCACAGGCCCCAGGGCAGCCGCACGCGTGGAGGGCCCAGGAAGGGACTCGAGGCCCGTGAACTCCGGGAAGCCCAAGGTCGAGTCGGAAAGGGGCGGATTCCCGTGTTCACGGAGTTTAGCTTTTCTAGACTGTGCTTTCTCACCAAGGGTGACGTCACCCTCAAGGGGGAGAAGAGATATTGGTTCTTAAGGCCAAAAAAACAAAAAAGCTTTCTTAATGGATAAAGCACAGATACACATACAGAATATATGTAGTGTGTATGTCGTACTAACATTTCATAATGGGGGCTGGGGAGGGGGCGGGATGAGTAGAAAAGAAAATGTCTGAAAAGACAGGCCAGAGAGACAGTGGTCTAAGCAGTCCTTGGAGGGCCGAATGTCACAGGACCTGAGTCACGCAAAGCGAGGCTTCTTCGAACAAATGTCCCTGAGCAGGCTGAGTCTCTGGGTGACACACAGGGCTGTGGGAAGGAGGCTGCCAGAGGCGGTGGCCCTCTGCTCATCAGCCATCAGCGCCCCGTTAGCTCCTTCAAGTTATGCTGGATTCGAGGGAGCCAAGCTGAAAGCAGAAGTCACCAGGGCCAGGCCCACAGCTCACGTGGAGTCACAGCCGGTCTGGGGTTAGGACAGTACTAACTGTGTAAGCGCTTGTGGCCTGACCTCGCAGGAAGAGCCTGAGTGAGGATCGGAATTCAGCGCGGGTGTCTGCGCTTGTCTGAGAAGCCCACGGGCTGAGGGGGGGGAATGGGTGGAGGATCGCAGCGGCCAGCGGGGGCCTCCCACCACAGCCCGGCCCTCACGGGAGGGGAGAAGGGAGTCCAGGTTCACCCACCGGGGGCTCCCTGCATGCACCCCAAACTCCAAGGAGCAAAGATATACGGTCACCGCATCATGGCATTAGGTACCGCGGAGGTGAGGCCCAAAGCCTCTGACCTCCAGTCCGTCAGCGAGCTAGCACCAAGCAGCAGAGGTCTCCACTCATAAAGGAAGATGCTTGTCGGCGGCCAGGAGCACCAGCCGCCAGTTCTCCTCTTGTCCTCTCAGGAAAGCCTGGGCTCCCGCAGCTACTCCAACTCCATCAGAGGCCGAATGTCGGGCCACCCCAGCCGGGTCATTGTGAGACACAAGGTGCCTCAGCTGAAGCTCACCTGCAGGGCAGATGGCCAGTCAGCCATTGAAATTGTTCCTGGGGCGGACGTCCCGAGGCAGGGTGCCGGCTACGATGTGTCCATATCATTCCTCGAGTTGCCTGTGGCCCAGCCCGCGGGGAGCAGGGGGCCGTACTATGCCAGGCAGAGGAACGAAGTCTTCCTCCAGGCCACAGTCCGCAGCCCCAATCCCAGCCTGAGGGTCTTCGTGGATACCTGCGTGGCTTCTCCAGATCCCCGTGATTTTACAACTGTCAAGTACGATTTGATCCGGCAAGGGTAAGGAAAATGGAAGGCCCTCTGGGGCTGACTGTTATATTCATGGGGCAGTCCCGTCGGGGAAGGGGACCTGTGGCTTCTCAACCAGTAGTCTTAAATCGTCACCCTGTGCAAGAGTCTTCATCAAGCCCCAGAGGCAGAGTCAAGGCCCTCGCCATCCCTCTGATCCTACTGCGGGACAAATAAATTATAGAAACTGGACAACTTCCCTTCAATCCCCCAAGGGTCCTGGGCAGGGCCCTTGCTGTCTTGGATTCCGCTGTCCCATCTCCCCGCTTTCACACCCATTCCCTTCCCACTGAGGTTTATAACTTTGTAATACTTCCCAGTCCTCAGGACATTTGGCCCACGTTGGTGGCCTGGTGAGTTATCTCAGGCTAAGCTTGTGCAGTAGTGAGATTTATTCTGGCTCCTTTGGTTAAACAAAGGATCTGTCAAGTTAGAACTCTGGCACGTTGTTTGCCTCTGTAGCTCCCTTGTTCCCTAATAAGAGCAAAAGGTTTACAAATGGGCAATTGGCAACCAGTGCAAAAACATCAAAAACCCATTGCTTACTGATACATCCTAAGCCCTGAGAAGCATCGTAGTGCCTATTTCCCCAAGCCAGGGGAAGAGCAAGAGGCAGCCCCTTCCCTAGGTGGTGTGAGCCATGGTGTGGGCAGTGCACAGATGTGGCACTGAAGTCTGAGTGGGAAAGCTCTTCCCTTTAATTCTCACAAATATATCAAGGAGGAGGCTGAGTTTGGTACAGTCTGGTGCCAGAATTTAACAACCAACACTTTTTTCCCTACTTGCTTTAGGTTCAATTTGCTCTTCTTGCTCTAATTTCCTAAGGTGGGAGCTTGGATTGTTGGTTTTAGATCTTTCTTCTTTTCCAATACATGCATTTTAAGGCTATACATTTCCCTCTAAGCACCACTTTAGCTGCTTCCCACTAATTCTGGTAAATCGTATATTCATTTTTGCATAGTTTGAAATATTTTTTAAATTTCTTTTGAGACTTTTTCTTCTGTCTATGAATTACTCAGAAGTGTGCAGTTTAATTCCCTAATATGTAGGAATTTTCTAGCAATCTTTCTGTTATTGATTTCTAGTTTAATGCCATGGTGATCTGAGGATGTATTTTGTGTGATTTCTGTTCTTTTAAATTTGTTAAGGTGCGTTTTCTGATCCAGAATGTGGTCTGTGGTCTGGTGAATGTTCCATGTGGGCCTCAGAAGAATGCTGTTGTTGGATGGAGTGTTCTATAAGTGACAGTTAGGTCTACCTGGTCGACAAAGCTGTTTAGGTCATCTGTATTTTTCCTGATTTTCTGCCTGTTAGGTCTGTCAATGACTGACAGAGGGGTGTTGAAGTCTCCAACTATAATAGTGGATTTACCGATTTCTCTTTTCAGTTCTATCAGTAAATATTCTGTTCTATCATATATTTTGACACTCTGCTGCTAGGTGCATTTACACTAAGGATTGTTATGTCTCCTTGGAGGACTCACCCTTTGTTGTTATATAATGCTTCTCTTCACCTCTGATGATTATCATGGCTCTGAAGGCTGTTTTGTTTGAAATTAATATGGCTACTTCAGCTTTCTTTTCATCAGCACTAGCATAGTAAATCTCTGTCCTTTTACTTTTAATTTATCTATGTCTTTATAGTTAAAGCGGGTTTCTTATAGACAACATATAGTTAAGTCTTGGATTCTTTTTAAATCTACCCTAGCAGTCACTGTCTTTAAATCAGTATATTTAGACCATTCGCACTAAAAGTGATGATTGATATCGTTGGATTAAAATCTCCCATCTTGATGACTATTTTCTGTGTGTCGCATTTGTTCTTTGTTTATCCTCCACCCCTCTCTCCTTGTGCTGTCTCTTTGGGTTTAAACAAAGCATTTCATATGCTGATGTTAACTGAGCACTTTATATTATTCCAGTTTTATCTCCTCTCTTGATGTATCATTTACACTTCTTAACTCTTTCAGTGATTGCACTAGGGTTTATAAATACATTCTACAATAATCTAAGTTCACCTTCAAATAATACAACCCCCATCCTTTCATCTTCCCTTTGACAAAACAGAGTAGGCCTTCTGAAGCCAATGGTTCTAGCTAGAATATAATTACCTTGTTTTGTTTTTATTATGTTTATTTTATAATTCCTTTCTATTTCTGGCCAGAAATAATGGTTTTTTCCACTCGTGGTAGTGTTTGTTTGTTTGTTCGTTTGTTTGTTTTAAATAGAAGAGCGGGTAATGGGAAGAACTCTATTTAGAATTCAGAGGTCTGGGTCCAAGCCTAATTGTTTGGATCAGAGTGAGTTCATGCTTTAACTTAATCCTTTTGACTTGGCGTTCTTCTTCCCATCAGGTGCATCAAAGACAATACCTATGTCAACCTCCACTCTCACCAGAAGAACATGGCCCAGTTCAAGTTCAATGCCTTCAGCTTTCTCAGCAGCTACGATGTGGTCTACCTGCAGTGTAAGGTCGCCGTGTGCAAAGTTAGGGACCACTCCTCTCGCTGCTCCCAGGGCTGTGTAGGGCGGGGTAAGAGGGGTGCAGGC